CTCTCTCAATCTCTCTCTCTCTCTCTCTCTCTCTCTCTCTGTCTGTCTGTCTGTCTGTCTGTCTATCTTTCTCTCTGTCTCTGTCTCTGTTTCTTTCTCAGTGGGAGCCTGGCCAAAACTTTCTTGGTTGGTTTCCCCAGAAGCAAACTTTCTATCTGTGATGTGGGGGTATCTGTGAAGACTTTGGAAGAATTGAACTAAACTAGATATGTTAGATACCTTCTTTTTTTTACATGCAGCCATGTGGACACATATAGGTGTCTTTCCTCACATTTGTTTATGCGTGTGTCAGTCTATTATCTGTCTCCATTTGTGTGGGTATGAAGGAGCTGGTTAACTGAGATTGCAGACAGTATTTTAATAGGTTGTGGAAGGACAGGGATTTCTAAAGAAAGTTCCCTCTCTGGATACCAGGAATGCCCAGTTCACCCTCTGTCCAAGGTCCTCCCTTCCCAGCAGTTCCTTCAGTAAAGACACACAGGAGGTTTGATGCTCTGATTTAATAGTTTAGATTGATATAAATATTTTTTCAATGATTTCCTTTAAGGAATTCTTTTAAAGAATGATTGCTACAGGTTCATTTCTTCCTGCCTCCGGGGAAAATTTTGTCGGTAAGATCTAGAAAAAAAATAAATGGAATGAGATCTTGGCTTCGATATGAACCTGAGATACCTAAGGCCACCCGGGTCAGCCCAGACCTTTACTTTCACTTATTCCAACCACTGTTTCATACTACACTGAGCCCAGGTATGGGGGCAGAGGCTTACAGCTGTTGATAGAATGATGCAGGTTGGACATACTAGGGGATGAGGAACACATCCTCCTGCTCTGCAGGTGAAACTGCAGAATGGGAATAGATTCAAAGAATCTGGAGACGTGGTCTACTTGCAGTTCCTCACCCATGTCACTCCATCTCCCATCTCTTAGCCTCTGCACTGGCCACCCTCCATGCCTAGAATGCTCTGCCCTCTTCCTTGGGTTTCTTCTGGACTCAGTTCAAATCCCACCTCGAGGGGCAGCTAGGTGACACAATGGATAGAGCACTGGCCCCTGAAGTCAGGAGAACCTGAGTTCAAATTCGGCCTCAGACCAAGCACTTGACACTTACTAGCTGTGTGACCCTGGGCAAGTCGCTTAACCCAATTGCCTAAGAAACAACAACAACAACAACAACAACAACAACAACAAAAACAGCCAAATCCCACCTCTGCAAGAGTCCTTACCTGGTCTTCTCAGTTCGTCATCCTTTACAGATTGCTTTCATATAGTCTTTCTCTATATCTTGTATTTATCTAGATATTTATATCTTGTCTTCCCCATTCAAATATGTGCTTTTTAAGGGCAGGGACTCTGGTTTTGTTGATTGTTTTTGCTTTTCATTGTATCTCCAGTGCTTAGCCCAGTGCCTGACACATAAGACCTGCTTAATAAATGCTTGTTGACTGACTGACTGACCTTGGGGATGTTTGAAATCTAATGTTATGCATTGACCAAGAAAGAAAAGGCTTAGCTATCCTCACCCTCAGAAATAGGTTTAAACCTTTTGCTTAGGTTTGGAGAATGGACTGTCTTTATTAGGGGATAGAGATAAGGGTTACAAGCCAGGGAAGGGAATCATGTAGGGGTTCATTCTGGGACCTATCTTTGGATATGATCACCTTTAACAATCGGAGGTAAGAATTCTCCAAGAATTCCTGAACCTGAAAATTAGTTGGTGCTGTGTTAGTAGAGCTGCCCATTCATGGATTACAGAAGTTCTTAAACCTTTCTCCCCAACATCTCACCTCCATGAGGATCCCCTGAAGCATGATCTCTTTAAGGTATACAAAACCCTTTATGAAAATGATCACTGTAGATTCACCCACCCCCCCGAATCTATTTTTTTAGATGAGGAAACTGAAGCTCGGGCAAATTAAAGGACTTTTCCAACTACACTCAACTAGTAAGTGTGGAATTTGAAAATAGATTTCCTGATTCCAAGAGGAGTAATATGTTGCCTCTTTCTCCCAACACATGCCCCAGACATAAGCCCCAAAGAAGTAATCGAATGTACTGCTCTCCTACCCCAACCCCAGAGACCATGTGTGACTGTTTGTACAGGGCTAGGCCCATACCCAGAGCAAATGAACAAGGGATACTGGCTTGGGACAGAGACAGATACTCACGTCTAGTGGTAGATGTTGTTGACTGTTGGGAAGGTGAAGTTGTGGTCTGTGAGGCAGTTGTCTGTGGGGCCGTTGTCTCTGCTGAGCCTGTTGTCTCTGCTGAGGCTGTGGTCTCTGCTGAGGCTGTGGTCTCTGCTGAGGCTGTGGTCTCTGCTGAGGCTGTGGTCTCTGCTGAGGCTGTGGTCTCTGCTGAGGCTGTGGTCTCTGGGGCTAGTGAAGTAGAAGCCTGTCCAGCTGCAGAGTCAATTTTTAAACTTTGAAGTATTCAAATTCTCCCCACCTTGAGGTGAGCAGTGAAAGGCATCTGGGCAGTAACCAGTCTTAAAGGATAATAAACAGCCTCTCCCTAGGGCCTGGGTTTTGGGGGCCTTCTCCAGGAGGAAAGAGAACTGCTAGGATAGAGCAGCAGCCTGTCCTTCTAGGGACTTATCACCTTTGTAGGAAAGGAGAGTATAGGCAAACCTCGTTGATATTGCAGCTGCGTTCCAGATCACCACAATAAAGTGAGTGTCTCAATAAAGTGAGTCACATGGATTTTTGGTTTCTCAGTGCATATAAAAGTTATATTTACACTATACTGTAATCCGTTAAGTATTCAATAGTATTAAGTCCAAAAACCAATGTATATACCTTGATTAAAAATTTTGTTGTTTAGATATTTTTCAGTTGTATCTGCCTCTTTATGACCCCATTTGGAGTTTTCTTAGCAAAGATGCCACAGTGGTTTGCCATTTCCTTCTCTAGCTCATTTTATAGCTGAGAAAACTGAGGCAAACAAGGTTAAGTGACTTGCCTAGGTTCACACAGCTAGTAAGTGTCTGAGGTCAGGTTTGAACTCAGGAAGATGAGTCCTCCTGACTCCATGCCTGGCACTCTATCCACTGCACCACCTAGCTGCCCCATTAAAAATATATATATATATTACTGCTAAAAATGTTAACCATCATCTGAAACTTCAGGAACTTATAATCTTTTTATGTTGGTGGAGAGTCTTGCCTCCATGTTGATGACTGGTGACTGATCAGAGTGTGGCTGCTGAAGTGGGGTGGCTGTAGCAATTTTGAAAATAAGATAACAATGAAGTTTGCCACATCAATTGATTCTTCCTTTCACTTGAACACTTAGAGGCCACTGTAGAGTTATTAAATGGCCTAATTTCAATATTATTGTATCTCAGGGAGTAGGGAGGCCCAAGGAGAGGGAGAGAGATTGGGAGGAGCCTGTTGGTGGAAAAGTCAGTACACAGACAACATTTATGTGGGTACAGTTTGTGGCTCCCCAAAGCAATTACAATAATATCATCAAAGATCACTGATCATAGATCACTATAACAGATACAATAAAAAAATAATAACTAAAAATTTTGAAATATTGTGAGAATTAACAAAATGTAACACAGATACATGATGTGAGCATATATTGTTGGGGAAAAATGCTGCCAAAAGACGTGCTGAATGCAGAGTTGCCCAAGCCTTCCATTTGCAAAAAAACAAACAAACAAAAACCAAAGCAAAACATCTGCAAAGTATAATAAAGTGAAGAGAGATATGTCTGTATGGGGGAGGGCCTAGGTGAGAGAGTAGTGAGTTTCTCTCCCTGATCTTGAAGGCCCTATAGTATTCATTCATTAATTGATTTAGTAAATTCACACATTGATTCTACAGATTGTAACGTCTGCCTTTTTCTATTCCAAATTCTTATATACTTTAGGACTTGGGTGATGGTAATTTGAAGAGAGTGGAGAACTTTCAGGGACTTGTTGATGACTACCAGATGCTCCAACCTGTCCCCTAAATCCCATGCCCCCTCTCCCCCCAAAAAAGTCTCCTACCAATTAAGTTTTGAAAGTAGTGGCCAAGAAACTGTGGAAGAAAACAGTGAGGCAATGATATCTCAGATTGTGTATTTTCTGGAACGAGAAACTGCCTGTAGGAGAAGGGGAAAGAGATCTGGATGCTGACACCTAGAATTACTATTTCTTCCTTTCCTTCTTTTAATGTTGATAGACTTCTAGTCTGCCCCTTGGACTACAGAGCACAGAGAGACACTTCAGTCATACTGATTGTCTCTGATGTTCTGTAGGTAAGCACAACAGACCTGGGGAGTCTGAGTTCTGTGTTGCCACTTACCAAGGCCTTAGCATCTGGCATGACTGGGCAATGGAAGTGATCATCCTGGGAGCAGAAGCAGGGACCCCAGCAAGAGAAGGTTCTGAGTGCTGGAGACTAACACCTAATGTAAGGTCCCCTGGTCTGGCAAACCAGGGAAATCAATTTCTTTCCAAAACATTTATCTTCTCTAATTTTACTCTGAGATTTAAGTCTAGGGTCCTGGATGCAGGTAGGAATTCTCATTGAAGGATAGGGATGGAGACATAGGTTAAAACACATGCACACACACACACACACACATACACACACCCACACACACACACACCAATTTTGAATCAATATGTCACATCATCTCCTGAGCTAAATTCAGAACTTGATAACCTGGGCAGTAAAAATCCTGTGACTCTCATGCGTGCATGCCAGGTAGACTGTCATGGTGGTGGTGAGGCCACATGCTTGGTGGCTTGAGTATAGCTTCTCCTGGTGGACATCAATGAAGCTGCCCTCTCGTTGTAAGCTCTTATTGAATCTATAGGAGTTGTTTCATTCTTGTTATTTGTTCATTCCAGCACCTGGCTCAGTGCCTGGCCCATAGTAAGTTCTTAATAAATGTCTGATGATTGAGGAATGATATGACAAAACATTATCTTATTGAAATGCTCCATGTGTTGCATAGGGTACCCACAAAAAGACATAGGCAGTCCTTGCATGTAAATAAACATTCATGGAAAATCTACTATTGTATTTCTATTGGGAGAGAAAAAAAGTACTTTTTTTAAACATAAAGAAAAGAAAAAGAAGTATAAAGAAGAAATCAGGTGCATTTCTGTCCTCAAGATTATATAATAAATATGGTGAAAAGACTTGAACATAAATAACTGAAATCAAAGGCATAATGAGATGACTGAGATAGTTAACAGTCCTTCCTGACTCCCGGCCTGGCACTCTATCCCCTGTACCACCACTGCCCTTGAGGGCTTTGGGACAGCTCTTTAAGACTAAGTTTCAGAGAAGGTATTAACAACCTTCATTGGTAGAGGGAATATCCATACCCAATGGGTTTCCTTTCTGGCAATAACTTTTCATAGCAGTATTAGATTATCTACAAACAGTCCTCATTACCATTCATTACAGAATCTGGATTTTTCCTGCTAACATTGAGGATGGATCAGAACCTGAGCACTAGAACATATGCATCATATGTTTAGTCCTGTTGTCTTAGAAACCATCAGCTTGTGAGAGAGTAAATGTATGGTAGTAGAATTATTTTGTTTCTTGCTTATTATTTCTTTCATTCATGTTTGTTCTTAGGGATAGAATCCCTTGTTTCTGGATCTGTTACTCTTGATGCAGGGAACTCCCTGTTGAGGAAACTAACTTTCTCTCTCTCTCTCTCTCTCTCTCTCTCTCTCTATCTCTCTCTCTTCTTCTGTCTGCCTCTAAGTGACTTGATTTGGGTTACTTGCACTGGTCTTCCTAGCCTCCCTCTCAGCCAACTAGAGCCAGGAGAGCTCAGGCAAGCCTAGAGTTCTCTTAATCTTCTCTCTCCCATCCAAACAAGTAAAGAGCTCTTATGAAGTAGATGGATCCCTTTTGCCCTGGTTGTTGGGCTCATTACACATCTCTACTCACAGACCTCTCTCTTTTTCATGCACTCCTTCCCAAATTTTTCTTTCTTTCAAGGCTTGTTTAGATATCTCTTTCAAAAGGTCAACTAGCTTATCTGATAAACTCATTCTAATATGCTTATGGGAGTAGATATAGGAATGTTGCACCAAGTGCCTTTGGGAGATGAGGAATAATTATGTTTCTTTAAATAATAGTACTGTGTCAATATATAAACTTATAAAATTTATAACCCAGCAGAGAGGAGGTTGGTATAAAATCTTTCTGGCATCAATTGATATATATGCACACACATATAAGTATATATTATAATCAATTATAATTGGATTTCAATAAATTAAATGCATATAATTTAGTATCCATATTTCACGATGAAATGTAATGTAACTCTTAAAGAAAAAGTTATATTCTAAAGCTTTTTCTAAAATGATTCTTTTCCTTTTAGAAGTTGCTGACTCTTGACCTAGCAAGTTTTATTAATGCCTCATTTAGCTCTTTAAGCAACTAAGTGGCACAGTGGATAGACTGCCAGTTTTGGAGTCAGGAAGATTCATCTTCTAGAGTTCAAATCTGGCTTCAGATACTTACTAGCTATGTAACTTAACCATGGTTGTCTCAGTTTCCTCATTTTTAAAATAAGCTGAAAAAGGAAATGGCAAACCACTTCAGTACCTATGCCAAGAGAACCCCAAATGGGGTCATAAAGAGTCATGAAATGACTGAAAAATGACTGAAGAACATTTTGATCTTGCTTTCTATGGATCTGTGATTGGTCTTAGGGAAGGCTAAAATGATCCCAGGAAGGATAATTGTCCTATTCTGTAAGTGGCAGTGGGCAAAAATAGAACTCAGGCCCTGTTGTGGGGTCCTAGATCTTTGCTGAGGGAGGGACTGGGAAATAGGGCCATACTCACCGACACCCATGAGAACTCCAGCCAGAGTAGTCAGGAGGAGAAGAACTGGGAACTTCATTTTGCTAAAGAAATATTGCTGAGGTTTCTTGAGGAGAAGGTGGGAGTGTTGATGGAGCCACCTGTCTGCCAGGGCACTTATAAAGACGCCAAAAGTCAATGGAAATTGAGAGAGCTGTGTACCCTCCTTCCTCTACAAGCTCCTTAATCCCCTCCCCTTACTGCTGCCTAAAGTCATTTGCTAAGTCAACAAGCTTTGGAAAGGAGTAGACACCTAAGTTTTTGGCAGGGGGGTCACGGCCAGAAGTGCTGGCAATTGTAATTGTTTTCACCAAGTGTCCAATTATGCCTTTGTCCAAAAGTATCCTGGGTGGGGGGGAGCTATCTGAGCAGCTAGGCCCAAGGCCACTGAATGATAGAAATCTCTTACTTATTTGGCATTATTATAATGGTGGGACCCCCTGCCTGGTCATCCAGAAACGTTCTGGTTATTGTCCAGAAAATGGGCTTTGGGAGTTCAATTTGTCCAACTCTCTGACTCTGGATGAGTTGATTTCCAATTCATGCTAGACTATGAAAAGTATTCTAAAGTCTTCTATAGAAAGAACTGGTAAATAACAGTATTTATAGGACAATTTTACATATATATGTATATATCTAATGGTAGCTATGTCTAGGGTGTGGGGGTGGAAAGAAAGGAAAAAAATAAAATTTGTATTTTAACTTTATTTTATATATAAAAAGAATAGCAAGTTGTGCATAATAGATTTGCAGTTTCATGTGCAATCATCTTTTTTATTATACTATGTTAGGGAAATGCTCATTTTATTTCACAAATTAAAACTAAAATTTAAAAAAGTCTTGTAAGAAAGTAAGGGTCATGTCTGAATGCAGGGTGCTCAGCTGTTTCATAGCCCTACCGTTCTAGGAAGTGACCTAAATGCTTCCCTGACCTCTGTTCCTTGGCCTGTGATATTTGGTAGGTTTTTGTGGGTGATTCATGTTTTGGGAATGCCCTCTCTTTTACCCCATGCACCAATTGCACTCCATCCCCACATATCTCCCAGCCCTATACAAAAATCCAGCTACAGCCATTACAGTCAGACATCCTTATGAAAACCATCTTAGCCAAATAGTACATTCACATGTAAGTGTCCAATGGTTAGATCACTGGACCTGGAGTCGGGAAAGTCTGAGTTCAAATCTGGTCTCAGACACTTATTAGCTGTGTGATCCTGGGGAAGTCACTTAACCCTGTTTGCTTCAGTTTCTTCTTCTATAAAATGAGCTGGAGAAGAACATGACAAATCACTGTAGTATCTGTGCCCTCAAATGGGGTCCTAAAGAGTCTGACATGACTGAACATCAAAAAATCTGGAAGCTGTTCCATCAGATCAGGGGTAAGGCAAATTGTCCATTATCATCATTACAATTCAATATTGCACTAGAAATGCTAACTATAACAAGAAGACAAGAGAAAGAAATGAGAGGAATAAACATAGACAAGGAGGAAACAACTGTCACTTTTTGCAGGTGATAAGATGGCTTACTTTGAGACTCCTAGAAAGTAAATTAAAAAAAAAAAACAATCTGAACAAATATTTCAGTAAATTTTCAGTACATAAAATAAACCTACACAAATCATTAGCCGTTTTACAAATTACCTTTAAAATCCAACAGTAAAAGAGAGAAATTCTACTTAAAATAACTAGTGACACTTTAAAATACTTGGGAATCTGTGTGCCAAGACACATTCAGGAACTACATGGCTAGAATTATGAAACACTCTTCACATAAATAAAGGCAGATTTAAATAACTGTAGAAATATTAATTGCTCATGAATAAGTTAAGTCAATATAATAAAAATAACATTGTCCAAATTAATTTACTTATTCAGTGCCATGCTAATCAAACTACTTAAGTATTACATTATAAAACTAAAAAACAATAATAATAAAATTCGTCAGGAGGAGCAATAGGTCAGTAACATCATGGAAAACAATGAAAGAAAAAAATTAATTAAGGAGGCCTAATAGTACCAGATCTTAAACTATTTGTTGTAACTGTCAAAAGAATTTGGTACTGGCTAAGAATGAGGTTGATCAGTGGGACAGATTAGGTATACAATATACATTATCAATTGAGCACAGTCGCCTAGTGTTTGATAAACCTCCAAATCCCAGCTACTTGATGAAAAACTCACTATTTGACAAAAACCATTGGGAAAACTGGAAAGTAGATTAACATAGATCAACATCTTACACTATATACCAGACAAACTCAAAATAAGTACATGATTTAGACATAAAGGATGCTATCATAAGCAAATTAGTAGAGCATGGAAGGAATTACCTGTCAGATCCATGGATGGGGAACAGTTTGTGACCAAACAAGAAACAGGTTCATAGGAGATAAAATGGATAATTTTTATTGAATAAAAATAAGAAGTTTTTGCACAAATAAAACCAATGGAGTTAAAGTGAAAAGAATAGCAGGAAACTGGGAAAACATGCTTTGCAACATGTTTCTCTAATAAAAGTCTCATTTCTAAAATCTATAGAGAACTGAATAAAATTTACAAAAATAGGAGCCATTCCCCAATTGATTAATGGTCAAAGGATATTAATAGGACATTTTCAGAGGAAGAAATCTAAGCTATCAGTAACCATATGAACAATGCGCTATATTAAGGAAATATAAATTTAAGAAGTTCTGAGGGAGCAGTTCACACCCATCAGATTGTCTAAGATGACAAAAAAGGAAAATAGCAAAAGCTAGAGGGAATGTGGAAAAATAATAATGTACTGCTGGTAGAGCTTGTAAACTAGTGTACCCATTCTGGAAAGCAACTTGGAACTCTGTCCCAAATGCTACTGTATACATTATGTCCCTTTGTCCCTCTGATACCACTATGACCCAAAAGATTAAGGAAAAAAACAATAGGACCCAAGTGTAAAATATATATAAATATCTGCAAAGATATCTTTATATATCATCCCTTTCTTGTAGTGACAAAGCATTGGAAACTAAGGGGATACCTATCAGTTGTGAAGTGACTGAACCAGTTATGGTATATTAATGTGATAGAATTCTATTGTGCTAAAAGAAATTATGAAGGGGAAGTTTCAGAAAAAACTGTTAAGAGTTTTATGATGTGAGGTAAAGTGAAGCAGACAAAACCAGGAGAACAATTTATCCAGTAACAATAATATACTAAAGAGAAACAACTTTGAAACACTTAGTAACTCTGATCAACACAGTGAAAAAAAACAATTTCAAAGATTCATGCTGAAACTCTATCCTCTTCCAGTAAGAGAACTGATCATCTCAGAGTACAGATTGAAGCATATTTTCTTCTCTTTCTTTCTTTTAAAAAATATTTTTGAACAAACCTAATACGGAAATTTCTTTTGCATGATTATATATATAAATGTATATATAAAATTTGTAATGGGTTTTGTTTATCTTGCCTTCTGAAAGAGTAAGGAAAGAGAAGACAAATTCCAAACTTAAAATTAAATTTAAAAGTGGGGACAGTCAATATTTGAGGAGCTGTGGGGAAAATGTACATTAATACATTGTTGGTGGAGTTGTGCATTTTCCCTACCATTCCAGATAACAGTTTAGAATTAGAAAATAAAAGTAATTATGTTTTAATTAATTAATAAATCAATATTAATAAATTCTAAGATCAAGTTTTTGTAGTGGCAAAAGAACTTGGAAACAAAGTGGGTGCCTATAACTTGAGTAATGACTGAAAAACTGTCATCTGAGATTAACTCCAAATGAATATATGATTTAGACCGAAAAGATTATATAACAAAAAAATTAGAGAAAGAAGATGGAAATTACCTTTCAGGTCTATAAATAGGATGATATTTTATGACCAAACAATGGATAGGGCAGATCATAAAAGATAACTTAAACAATTTTGATCACATGAAGTTGAAAGTTTTTCCCAGAAATAAAACCAAGGTTGATAAGATTGTAATGGAAACAGTTTAGTGGTGAAAACCATCTTGACAGCCAATGTCTGATAAAAGTCTTATTTTCAAGATATAATAGGAATTGATTCAGATTTGTAAGAATGAGAACCATTTCCCCAACTGATAAATTTTCAAAGTTATTAAGTCAGTTTTCAATGAAAGAAACCCAAGCTATCAACAGCCATGTGGGAAGAAAATGTTCCCAAAGCATTAATAATTAGAGACATTTGAATTTAAATAACTCTGATTTTCCACCTCACAGCTATCAGATTGTAAAGGATGGTGAAAAAGGAAAATGATAACTGCTGGAGGATCTGAGGGAAAACACGCATATTACTACATTTTTTGTGGAGCTATGAATTGATCCAGCCATTCTGACAAATGATTTGGAACAATGTTCCAAAAATCTCTAAACTTTGATTGAGTAATTAGGCTTGTACCCAAAAGAAATCAAAGAGGAAATTATTACCCAAACATTTGTGGCAAACAACTCGAAATTAAAGAGGTATCCAGCAGTGGGGGAATGACTGAATAAATTGTGGCATATGTAAATAATGGAATACTATTTTGCTGTGAGAAAAGATGAAAGGAAAGATTTTAGAGAATCTTGGGAATACATCTATGTACTGATGTAAAGTTGAGCAGAACCAGCAAAGCAATTTATGTACTAATATTAACACTATAAAAATGAATACTTTTGACAAACTGAAGAGCTCTGAGCAATGCGATAAACAACCATGATTTGAAAGGACTTCAGACAAAACATTCTATCCACCTCCTTATAGAGACAGGATAGATATATAATGCTGAAGGAGGCATACATTTTTGGACTTGACTGGTGCCAGTATTGCTTATGCTTGAATACATCCATCCATCCATACATACATACAGATAGATAGATAGATAAATAGATAGATAGATATGTATATATATTCGTATAAGTTTCAATGAGAATTTTTTTCCTTTTTTAAAAAATTGAGAGTGGAGTGGCAAAAAGAGGAAGTAATAACTTGTTAATTGAAAAAATAAAATACCCTCTCCCAAACTGTGACGTATGAATACAACAGAATATCATTGTGTGATAACAAAGGAATATAAGGAATTCAGAGAACCTGAGGGACGATTTGTATCAAATGGCATACTGTGAAATAAGC